GGATTTTTATTTTTGGGGAGATCTGAAAAATCATCTTTATAAAATTAGATCTAATAATATAGTTAAGTTAAGTTAAGTTAAGTTTATTTTGGTGTTTTCAAAATTTTTTACAATTTTTATCACAAGTCAGCTTACATACTATAGACTACGGACTAATACAAATTCAATTTAAATAATATCACATTTTTTTCATTTGTAGGAACATCATAATAAAAATGGATGATTTGACCAGACATAATGTGCCTTTTTTTTTTCTTTTTATACATATTTCAAATTTACAGTTTAAAATCATTTTCATTAGGTTCATATTTAAGAAATTCATTTATACTATAGAAGGCTTTTGTTATGAGGAACTTTTTCACTGTTTTTTTAAATGGATTTAATTCTCGGGTTCTTATACTTTTTGGGAGTTTATTGAAAAAAGTTGGTGCATAATAATTCCCGCAATTTCTTGATTTTTCTAATCTTAAGAAGTCCAAGTTTATATTTCCCTTCTTTCTAGTATCATGATCATGGCCATTTTCATGATTCTGGTATTTGTGTAAGTTTTGCTTCGCATAGATCAGGCACTCAAGAATGTAGTTTCCTGGGGTGGTAAGTATGCCAAGATTTGCGAAAACATCCCTCACATCTGCCACATCTGCTCTGTATTTCATACCCTCAATCACTCTAATTGCCCGTCTTTGAAGCCTGAATATTCTCTCAGCATGGGGAGAATGTCCCCATACCAGTATCGCATAGTTTGCAACTGAGTGGAAGAGCGTATGATACACAGTGAGCACCACCCTTCTTTCCGTGATCTTCTTGAGGTTTCTGATAAGAAAGACTGTTTTTTGCGAGTTTTTTTGCTGTGTTTTCAATGTGTATCTCGAATGTAAGTTTTGGGTCCAAAAACACTCCCAAAAACTTGATCTGTTTTGGATTTTGTTCGTTTTGTCTACGCAGGCTAACGGTCATTCTCTCAGTTTTGCCCATGTTCAGTTTCAGTCTATTTGCAGTGAACCAACTCTCCAGGTCAGCCAATCCTCGCTCCACCCCTGCTTCCATACTTTCTACGTTTTTATGTGACACTAGTGCTGTTGTGTCATCTGCGAACAGTACAAGTCTACTTTGTGTTGCTTCATTGATGTCGTTTATGTATATAAGAAACAGGAGTGGTGCCAGTATTGACCCCTGCGGCACACCCCTTCCCACGGCACCCCTTTCGGAGAGGACTCCTCCCAAGTAAGTTTGCTGGTACCTTCCGTGTAGATAATTTTTTAATAGGTTTAGACTATTTGGTTGTACACCGTAGAATGTTAGTTTTGCTAGAAGGATCTCATGGGAAATGCAGTCGAAGGCCTTTGTGAGGTCACAGCAAGTGATGCCTACATATTCCCCTTCTTCGAGGCCCCCGACAACATGTTCCATAAGCTCGCATACTGCTTTTGTGGTTGATCTGTTTATTCTAAAACCGAATTGTGAATCTGTAAAGATATTATTTGATTCGAAGTATTGGTACAGCTGTGATTTCAGAAGGTATTCAAAAATTTTTGATACTACAGGGATCAATGTGATGGGCCTATGGTTATTCATATCGTCTCTTTCACCCTTTTTGAAAATTGGGATTACTTTTGATAGTTTGAGACATGATGGGTAAACTCCCTCTCTAATACATTGATTTATTATTTTAAAAAGAGGAAATATTAGTGTGCTTTTTAGTTTTTTAATCAATGTTATGTTCAGGTTATAGATATCTTTACTGGTTTTATTTTTTAAGTTATCTATTGCATCCCTCACTTCAACAAGGCTGACCTCCCTAAAAGCGAAGCCCTGGGAGGGTACGTGCAAGTTTTGTAAATAGTCCACTGCATTTAAATTTGACGTTGGTAGTGAATTTGAGATGGTTTGAGCTATTTCTGTAAAAAAATTATTTAAGTCATCTGCATTTATAACCCCTGAGTTTTCAGTCTGAACATTTGGACAACGATACTGATTTATTATTTCCCAAGCAGCCCTGATGGGGTTACTTGAGCATTCAATATATGCTGTATTTGCCCTTTTTTAGAATTGTTTATGGCTAAACGATAATAGAATTTTTAAGCTCCATTGCCAGATTTGGGCATCCAGAATTTTTATGCATATCTGATAAAATTCTCAGATTTTCACGTATGTATACTAGATCATTATTAAACCATTCATTCCTATCTTTTTTTGCTTTTTTGTATGTTTTTTCCCTAAAGAACTTATTTACATTTTCTTTTAATACATTTATAAAAATATCACAGTTTGTTTCAGCCAGGTTTCCTCCCTGCATGTGAGACCAGTTCGTATTTGAGAGGGCAGCATACATTTGATTTAGCCCTTTTTGTGTTATCGGTTGACATACATATGTTTGGTCTTCGACGGACTGGTTCCCCACACTGAGAAGCACCTGGATTTCTACCGCATCATGGTCAGATGACACTGCATTTACTGTACCTGTTTGTACTATATTCTCCTTTTCCAGGTTTATGAAAATGTTATCTAGGCATGCATTTTGTCTGGTCTTGTCAAAAATTTGTTGATTGAGGTTAAAGCAGCTCAATATATCCAAGAATCTAGACTTTTTCATACAGTTTTTGCTAAAATCAATATTAAAATCACCATTTAAGACGACACATTTAAATTTTACAAGAATCTTAAACATTTGATTTACAACATTTATAAAAACCTCAAAATTTCCACCGGGGGGGCGGTAGACAGTCACAATGGCAAGACTTAGGGTTTTGATTTCTACTGCTGCTACTTCACAGTCCATTTCCTGGGATAGGGATGTTATTTTTGGTATTGCACATGCTTCAAGACCTATTTTGGTAAAAATCACCACGCCTCCTTGTGCCCTATTTATTCTCGAATAGCTGTCTGCTACTTTATAACCTTCTATTTGTAGTAGATCCAGTTCGTCTTGTTTCATAAAATGTTCAATGTATAAATGAACTCATAGAAAATTGCGATTTTTAACGCAACTCAGGCTGTTGCCAAACGTTGCAGAAAGTGCCTAGAACAGAATGGAAGGCAGTTTGAACACTTGCTGTAGAGACGGAATCTTAACTATTAACTGTATTACTATATAGATATATTTGATAAGTTATTTGTATTATTTTTTTTAATTATGTTTTTAGTTCACGTGTTATTTGATCCATCCATTTAGTTTTCGTTAAATATTTGTTTCCAATACAAGGTTCGATATTGACTTGACATCCACCTCTTTTCTTACTGCACTAGTGTGATAAAAGTCCATCTAGTAAAAAAACTAAGTTCTAAGTTACAATGTAAGCATCTTATTTATGTCTAATTTTTGAAGCTTATTTTTTGTCTATATTTATAGGGGAATTTGGAAAGTGAAAAGTTTGGACTAGGATTTGAGTCTAGGACCTCTAAATTCCCAGTCTATAAACTGAGCTACCAAAGCCTTCGGTTCATTTTTGCCCAATCGGTCAAGTGTTTTGTCAACTTTTAATGTGTTAGTGCTACAATCTGCAAACTTCGGCGGTTACTGAATCTAGGGGTCCTAGGTTCGAAGCCTAGTTGGCTATTATGTCTGCTAGTTCACGTAAAAATGTTCATTAAAGGATTAAAAACATGTAGTAGGACATTTAAGCGAAATAACGCTTTAGGATGAAATGTATTAAATCCCACCGCATTTTTTAATAATTCTAATCCCGTGTCGCTGCCGCGCTTGCTCCCGCTACCGCCCTACCACGTTTGTGTTCGGGATCGCTATATCCGAGGAACAACTCTATAAAATACCCTAAAAATATAGTTTTTTCGCAGTTTTGACAGTTAAAATTATTGAAAATATAAAGTGTTATATATCATTAGAATCACAAAAAAAAAAACACCTAATTTAACGGTGTGAAATTATATAGGGTGTCCAATTTAAAAAAGTTGAAATTTTGACTATATCTCAAAAAATAATACCCCTAAAAAAAATCTGAGTACGCCACTGGATTCTACGTGAAAAATCACACAAAAACGTAATTTGATATTTTTTAAAATTTTTGATAACAACTGAGATACAGAGGAAAACAGAAATCAGCTATTTTCCAAAAAACCCCTGTATATCGAAAACAAATAAATTTCGAAAAATTCTGAGCGGTCCATTAAACTATACTCAAAAAAATAGATCGCGACACTTATATCAGATTTTTTGTATCTATCACCGTTTAGGCTGTACCCGGCATTCCCACCCAAAATGACTCACCCTGTACATACTAGACCTTGTTTCAAGGTTTTGAATTCTTTGAACATTGCTTATTTCCTGGTTTTTCTATTAAAGATCTCTTGTATCCAAAATCCTGAGTAATTTCTAAAAATTACTCAGTATTTTACAAGTTCTCCATTAAAACACCCCAATTTTTGTTTTCTGACAAGTTGTTTGGGGTCTACATGTGGTTTTTCTTTGGAAAGACTGGGAACAAGATAATACTTATACTTATCAGAAATGTTTTGCTGATTTTATTCATGAAGTATTGAAACTAAACAAGTTTACAAAAAAAGCCGATATGGTAAATTTGATAAGATTTGTTCCATAAATAATACCCATGTTATCTTTAAAAAAAAAAAGTTATTTTGCCTTGAAATTAAAAGACAGATATTTCTATTGTTCTTTAGACTATTTTAATTTCATCATTTTAGTATTGAGTTATTATCTCAAATGACTCATCTGACAAGATTTTTAGGACCCTAATTCGTTTTTTGATAAATTTCCTATCATTCATCAAGAATAGTTTTGAGATTCGAAATTATAGAAGAATCAGGAAGTTGGAAAATAATTTTTTAAGATTTTGGATTCTTCTCTGTATATAGTTTTCCTATTACTTAGAATATTCTAATTTTTTAAATCATTAGGTACCTACTTTGCAAATTTTATGATACAGGCTGAATTTCAAGTTATCACAATTGAATCTTTTGAGGTATTGCTCTTTCAAATACACTTCTTCAAAAAGATTTTCCATTTGGATGTTTTTTCTTTTCAGGTGGTGATGACAGAAGAGTCTTATTATGGAAAATCCCAGAGGCAGTCTACGAAGGCAACTGCATATCCTGTTCCAGAAACATACCGGAAGGCCTGGCTCCTATAATAATGAAAAAAACGCACAACAGCAACATATTTTGCGTCGCTTTCAGTTCGAAACACACTAGAATTTTTTCAGGAGGCAACGATGACCAAGTCATCATACATGAAGCTTACTAGTAAGAATTTCAATCACTATAATATAATGCATTTTCAATGTTATAATTTTGCTTCTAGTGAGCATCCTTTATCAATTATACCTCACAGAAAACCTGTTTACGGTCTAAGTGTGAACCCACAAAAAGATGAAATAATTGCAACTGCAGGAGAGGATGGAAGACTTTTGCTGTACGATATCAGAGATACGCTACAACATGGCACGTTGCACACAAAATAATAATTATTTATTGAAAAACTTCTATTCTAGAAGCCCAAGTGCTGGCCAAACAAAAGACTGGTTTCCATTCTGTGATGTTCAATCCTGTTAATCCAAGATTTTTAGTTTCTGCTAATTCCGAAGAAGGCATAGCTTTGTGGGATTGTAGAAAACCCAAAGAGTAATTTATTGTATAGTTGAGACAATTTGTTGTTTAATTTAATTTGTAGAGAATTGGTGCGTTATGATCCTTCTATAGGTAAAATTTCAGGCATAAGTGCCTGCTTTAATTCTACAGGCAAAAAAGTACTGGCTCTTAGACGTCGGTTGCCTCCAGTACTTTACAATACTCAAAGCGAACAGTCTATTTGTCAGTTTTATCATCCACAGTACTATAATAGTTGTACTATGAAAACTTGCTCTTTTGCAGGTGAAAATGATGAATATGTTTTAAGTGGTTCTGATGATTTTAATTTGTATATGTGGAAGATGCCTGAAGATGAAGGTGAAACATAATTTATTATTTTCTGGAAATTATTTTATTATATATTATCTAGATGAATGGGGTGCTTGTCATATGGTACTAAAAGGACATAGGTCTATTGTGAATCAAGTAAGGTATAATAGGCATAATAATTTAATTGCTTCTTCTGGAGTTGAGAAAATGGTTAAGTTGTGGAGCACTATTTCTATGGGTAAAGTACCTTAAAGATTTTTGATGTTTTGATGTGATTGTTTTTGTCTAGGCCCTTGGACTGGATCATTGCTAAAAGAATATTCAGAACCTTCTAGAATAATATACACTCATCAAGATTATGCCGAGTTAGTTGGAAGCAGTGGCGAAGTAAGCAATATTTTTGTATTTGTAATGACAAGTTTTTATTTTGTATTTTTTAGAGAATTTCGCATGATTACAGTGACCAATCGACTTATGAAGATTCAAAAATGATGGCATTTTTTGATGCTCTTATTCAAAGAGAAATTGAAGGTATAATATTGGGACATAGAAAGTTTTTTTAGTTGAAACTATTTGGGTTTAGGTTGGGCTAGTTCAGAAGAGACTCAAACATCAGACAGTGATTCTGATGGGGACCAAGACTATTCGAAATTGCTTCAAGGTATATTGAGAAGCCGCAATAAAACTTTTGAGGAGCCTAGGAAGCATAAACATAATAGAATTGCACAGTTGATATGCAAAAAACGAAATACTTTAGCTAGGATGGCTTACAATAAAGCCTATAGTTCTGTTCAGAGGTAATAATTCTGAAGTTATTAATTTGTTTTCAAAACTTTTACTTTTTAGGAAACAATTAAGAGAAAAACGGAAACGAAAAGCAAGAATTGCTCAGAAACAAAAAAGCGCAAATAAAAAATTGAAGTTGAGCAGCTACTTTGAAACCAAGAAAAACAACTATCTTAGTGAAAGTAGTGCAAGGTGAGTGGGATTACTTTTAGCAAAACCCCAATGTATAAACCTAAAAAATTTAGGTCTTTGCGGTACCGTACACGTCAGTGCCTGAGAGAAGCCCGCGAAAATGCTGTGCTGGATATGCCCAGTACTAGTACAGGAATAACTAGTTCAAACTCTTTAGTTTACACGGTAAATTTCAATAATCTATTCCCTCTTGATTCCTCTAATAAATGATCATATTTTTAAGATGTTTAATCAAGATTCAGACGATGAAGCTTTAAATTTATCTTTGAACGAGCCAGAGAATGTTTCCTCAAATAATGATGAAGAAGAAGAAGAAGTAAATTTAGTCAATATTCTTCCTACACCTTTAAATGGCACTCAAGAGCACATAATCAACAACCTGGAAATTATGTCCAACGTTGACATACCAATTTCAAATGGCAGCAGTTCCAGCAACGAAACTGCAACAAACGATTACAATAATGGAGCTTCAACTTCAGCAGGTTCAAGTGGAAGTTACAAAACCCCTTACCCAAACGACTCAGAAGAAGATTCCCCCTCAACCAGTCCAGAAAACGGTTACAGTACCTCTACAAGTGAGTTTGAATGTGCCACGCCTCCTAAAAAACGTCGGAATCTTAGCCAATCAGATAGTGGTTGCGGTACCGGGCCTAGCAGTACCAAGTCGCGTAGGTTTATGGAAAAATATGTTTGTTTTAATGCTAGGAAGACGCCTGAAACGGTGCCTGGTACTTCGCAAAACGGCCACACTAGCGACGAGGAAAATAGAAACGAGAGGTTTAGGAAAAAAATTAGGAAAGTGCGCCTTAATTTAAGGAATCGAGTTTGTTCAAACGATTCAGATTCTAATTAAGACTTAAGACTGTGTATATTAAATGTATTAGGATGTTAACTTGTAAGGTTCAGCTTTTCTATTTCTTTATTATTCCTCGCATTTTGTTTATTTTCAAAAGATTTTTTTTTCAAATAATGAACTGCAAAGTGAAATAACTTTATATTATTATTGATTGATAATAATTTATTCTTTTTAGTTATAAGTGAATTTAATTTTTAATTGTATATTATCTAATTATTATTATTATTATTATGTAAAACTAGTTGGATTGTTTTATTTTGCCTCTCTCCTCCTAATACAGTACATTTCATCGACTCTCTGATTTGATTGTCATTTCAACCAATAATACATTGATTTCTTGTTAAGGTTTTCTTATGAATAACTTATAAGTAGTTGTTGTAAGGTTTACTGAAATGAAACAAGTTCTCAACACTATCATCCATTTTATTAACCCAAAATTTTTACAGCTTCATTACGTACTAAAATATGAACGTGAAAAGAACAGAAGCAGGAAAAATAATTAAGTGATTCATTTATTTTTTTTTGTTACTTAAAAATATTTACAATAATAATGATACTGTGGTCACCTGGTCTCAGACCAGCACGCTTATCGTTTTAACTTATATAGAAAACAAAAACGAGGATCTACAAAAGCAGACCTATAAGCAATAATAAAGCGAGCCCTTTTTTTTTTAAAGAGACTTTCGGCACACTTATTTTTTTTTGCTGGCTAGACTTCACAGTAACAGCAATAATTTTACAAATAAAATTTAAAACAAAAAATGCCAAACTTTTTTTTATTTCATTATTATAATAAATAGTCATGTGTATTGAGCACGACTTTGGTATGACACTTAATAGAATTTAACAACACAGTTACATCCTAGCTAACCTAAGTGTTGAAAGCCTTAAATAATACTAATGAAGAATGGGTATTCTAATGGGAGGAGGTGTGCGTCCGTTAACAGGCAACCAAGAAGCGCCCACCTGCGCCCTCAGACCGTTTAATATATGACCGACTGACTGACAGCACTAAGGCAACTGTAGTAGTTTTTGTTCAAATGGAATGTTGCGAAAACGTTAATTTTTTTTTTTCTGTCCTATAGTATATTGCCAGACAGTTTTGTTGGTACTGTCATTGCAAAAAAAAAAACCTATTTCTTATTTTGAATGTCATTATTATTAATATTATTATTATTAGTATTAATAATTAAATAACTATGCGTTGTGCGCAGGCGATCCACGCATAATCATTTCTATATAGCCTATATAAACCTATAATATTTTAAGATCGACTCCGCACAATACTTTTTTCTTAAATATTTTTTTAATAATATGACTGCAACAGCAGTAATAGTAGTTCTAGAAATAGCAACATGATTTGTACAACAATCGATAGAGAACGACATCATCCAAATTTTTAAAAAAAAATCGAACTCAAAATGGCAATGTCAAAAAGCGAGAGGATTTTTTTTTTATTCATCTCAATTTTTGTTGTGGTACTATCGAAACAACTATTACGAGTGACCGGCTGAGGCCACCTAGTGGCAGTAGAGGGCTTTGAGGTGACGCTTAATAGTAGGTCTCTTGTTCCAACCATCCTCCGGGATTGCGTCGCAAGTAGAATCTTCTCACCTCGTCGTAGATGAAGATGGAGAGCATGAACGGTATTGCTGGTAACCACCACACGAACCTGGAAAAATAAATAAGGATTTTATGATATATATGATTTATGAGATAAATTTTTTTGTCTCAGGGCGTTTTATTTGATGGTTTGTTAGACCTTTCTACACAAAGACACATTACAAAAACCCAAAGGGTCTTTTGACACAAAATTTCACCATTAATTCTGATAAAAACCCTTTGGGTTTTGGGCTTTTTGTGTCAAAAACCCACTTATACAGAACTCATTTCTACCATACTGCCAAATATCAATCCAAAATCAGAATGGAGATAAATTCAATTTTGAAGTTTCTCAGCTGCAAAACTGTTGAAACAATGTAATTTTTTTCGAAAAGGGTAATTTATTCTAAGTCATCTTGTACCTTCTTTTCTGCTTTCAAAAGTTGTTTATTTGAGATAGATGTTGTTTATGTCATTTGCATCTGGTTTTTCTTTAATATCTTTTTTGAGGGGTAAACCACTAGTGGAAATCATTGTACATTTTTTTGGGAATCACATAGTAATCAATCAGGAATACATGGAAATCACTTGGGGCCGAATTTATAATCGTTCCTTGGAGGTGGAGAGTTTAGAATGGACCACTCGCTACTATTTGTTAAGTTAGTCATGTCAATTCTAAACGTTCAAGGGGCGACTATAAATTCGGCCCTTGGGAGTCCCTGGGAATCGCTAGGAATCACATAGGAATCCATTGACAATCATGTGCTAATCGCTGAGAATATCACCCCATTCTAACCCAGAAATCGTATATCACACATTTTAAACAATACAGCGTACCGGTCAGTTGTGTATTTGCCTTAAAGTTTCAGGCAACATTGACTGCTAGACAATTTGAAATGTATTCTATATCCCAACGAGTTTCCCAATAACTGAGCCAATAACTAGGGTTGGCTAAATTTCACTTTTCACTTCATCTGGAAATTTCATTCAGAAATTTTCATGGAACTATAAAAAAAAATTAAAATTTCTGAAGATTTCCAAAATATCATGAAATTTTCAAAATCAAATGATTCACAATGGAATTTTCAGTGAAACTTCATAAAATTTTCAACACAACTCAATCTCTTGAGTTTTCTTTAAATTTCTCAAAGTGGAAAAAATTCAAGTGCCTGGAATAGAAAAAATATATCTTCCCACTTGTCTCTTGTCCACTCATGTTTTCTCAAGTTTCCTCTATTTATTGCTTAAATTTTCTTTCTCAATTTCTCTTTATTCCAGGCCCTTGAGTCTTCAGTGAACAAAACTTAAGATTCTACAATAGAAAAGATTTGTCTAATCATTTTCTCTCAAGTTTCCTTTCTTCATCATTCAAGTTTTCTGTCTCAATTTTTGTTTATTCCAGGTTCTTGAGTTTTCTTTAAATTTCTCAGAGTAAAGAAAATTCAAGTGCCTGGAATAAAAAAAATATGTCTACCCACTTGTCTTTTGTCCACTCATGTTTTCTCCCCAACAAACACAACTTATCGGCGCTGTAATGTTGCTGTATCACGAACACAGCCCAAATACAGCACATAAATTCTTTTATTAATGCTGCGCAGCACTTGTATTGGGAATACTGTATTTTAGAGGTGCAGTATTTGATATGCAGCGGCTTTGCAGATTTTGTATTGGAAAAGCGATAGATTATTTCGATCTCCCATGCGCATATTGATGCAACAACTGTTGTAAAATGTTAGTGCAGTTACTGTAAAGAAATATGCCAATCTGCACGAGCACAGTATATTTTGCCCTTTGCCGTAGAGTTGTGAGCGTAGCCATTTTGTTTTATTTAATTGTATTGTATTGTTTCACTGATGCAGGGCAGCGTTTTTGATTTATAATTTTTGTGGTGTTTTTCACGTGTCTTTTACCTGTGATTTGTATTACTACGTGTACAAGATGCATTATTTTCAACAAGAGGAAACAAGGTAGGTGAAAAAAGGTCCCCGTATTATCATAACCTAAGTTTTCTATCGTTTTTCTATTTGCCCCCGTTTTACGTTTTCTATTTTTGTGATTTGAAAAATGGATTTCAGAAGAGAAATAATCTTTCAGGTAAATAGTCTTGGAATACTAGGGGGCAAAAACACTGAAGAAGTATGTAGGAACACATTAGCCAAATTATTATCTAAAAATTCAACTCCTCAGCTGAACTGGACAGGGCGCCTTCAAAAAGCACAATTTTCAGAATATACCTATATTATCAACATCAATAAAGCAATTTAGGTAAGTTGATGCAAGGTAAAACGGTTTTTAAATTTTAACTCAATTTTTTCCCTATTTAGTCGATGTAAGAAAAAATAGAGCCAGTCAGAATGCGTCTCAATCAGAAGCTGAAAAAGCCACCAAAATATGGTTAAGGAATAAGGAATATTATTGTTTAATGTCCCACTCCTTAATATATTCTATATACTAATTTGTTTTGTCATTTTTCAAAAATATCCTGTCTATATAAAATAAATTATGTCCATTAAATTTAGAGTGCCACAGGTAAATATACCTAAACGGTATATTGGCTGCACAGTTATTGCGAAACAAATATGTACGACGTCTTCAAGAGCGCTGCGTTATTGCTGTGTAAAAATTGCATAATGAAGAGGCAGAGCTACTGCACAGTAGCTGTACTCAAATGCAGCATGAACAGTGCAGCGCCAGATGTAGGCCGGTGGGACATATATGATCCGGGCTGATGCAGCTGCTTCGTCTACATCGCTGTACAACAAGTACAGCACAGTATCACAGTTTTTGCGCAGCGGCTGACTTTCCGTGTTTGCTGGGTCAAGTTTCCTCTATTTATTGCTTAAATTTTCTTTCACAATTTCTCTTTATTCCAGGCCCTTGAGTCTTCAGTGAACAAAACTCAAGATTCTACAATAGAAAAGATTTGTCAAATCATTTTCTCTCAAGTTTCCTATCTCCATCATTCAAGTTTTCTGTCTCAATTTTTGTTTATTCCAGACTCTCGAGTTTTCTTCAAATTTTTCAGAGTGAAGAAAATTCAAGTGCCTGGAATTAAAAAAAATTGTCTACCCACTGGTCTCTAGTCCACTCATGTTTTCTTAAATTTCCTCTCTTTATTGTTCAAGTTTTCTTTCTTAATTTCTCTTTATTCCAGGCGCTTGACTCTTCTTCTAGTTTCTCAGAATGAATAAAACTCAAGATTCTACAATAGAAAAGAATTGTCAAATAATTTTCTCTCAAATTTCCTTTCTCCATTATTCAAGTTTTTTGTCTCAACTTTTATTTATTCCAGGCTCTTGAGTTTTCTTCAAATTTTTCAGAGTGAAGAAAATTGAAGTGCCTGGAATAGAAAAAATATGTCTACCCACTTGACTCTTGTCCACTAATGTTTTCTCAAGTTTCCTCTATTTATTGCCTAAATTTTCTTTCTCAATTTCTCTTTATTCCAGGCCCTTGAGTCTTCAGTGAACAAAACTCAAGATTCTACAATAGAAAAGATTTGTCTAATCATTTTCTCTCAAGTTTCCTTTCTCCATTCAAGTTTTCTGTCTCAATTTTTGTTTATTCCAGGCTCTTGAGTTTTCTTTAAATTTCTCAGAGTGAAAAAAGTTCAAGTGCCTGGAATAGAAAAAATATGTCTACCCACTTGTCTCTTGTCCACTCATGTTTTCTCAAGTTTCCTCTATTTATTGCTTAAATTTTCTTTCACAATTTCTCTTTATTCCAGGCCCTTGAGTGTTCAGTGAACAAAACTCAAGATTCTACAATAGAAAAGATTTGTCTAATCATTTTCTCTCAAGTTTCCTTTCTCCATCATTCAAATTTTCTTGTCTCAATTTTTGTTTATTCCAGGCTCTTGAGTTTTCTTTAAATTTCTCAGAGTGAAAAAAATTCAAGTGCCTGGAATAGAAAAAATATGTCTACCCACTTATGTCTCTTTTCCACTTATGTTTTCTCAAGTTTCCTCTCTTTATTGCTTAAGTTTTCTTTCTCAATTTCTCTTTATTCCAAGCCCTTGAGTCTTCAGTGAACAAAACTCAAGATTCTACAATAGAAAAGATTTGTCTAATCATTTTCTCTCAAGTTTCGTTTCTCCATTATTCAAGTCTTATAGTCCAGGAGGTGGCGCCAAAAACATGCAAGAGTTTTCGCAAGGCGGAGATTTTCAAAATAGGTCGTACTTTAGTGCTAGAATGCTAGTGTACAGTCAGCACTCACAGTTCCGGGACAGCTGGCTCTGGGACGCGGGCAAAGTTGTAATTTTAAGAAGCATTTAAACTGTTTTCTCAAAGCTCAAAATTTATAGAAATTTTGCACATTATCTGTTTGAAGGTCACAGATAATGTATGTAAATCGTCAGACGTCTAGTTCGTTGCAAAAAGGGGGTCAGACGTCCTCAAAGTTTTTATTTTATGGCATTTTCTTCGGTGTCCTGTCAAAATATATTTTTGCAGGTATTTGACAAATATATTTGAAGAAAATGCCATAAAATAAAAACTTTGAGGACGTCTGACCCCCTTTTTGCAACGAACTAGACGTCTGACGATTTACATACGTTATCTGTGACCTTCAAACAGATAATGTGCAAAATTTCTATAAATGTTGAGCTTTGGGAAAACAGTTTAGATGCTTCTTAAAATTACAAATTTGCCCGCGTCCCAGATCCAGCTGTCCCGGAACTGTGAGTGCTGACTGTACACTAGCATTCTAGCACTAAAGTACGACCTATTTTGAAAATATCCGCCTTGCGAAAACTCTTGCATGTTTTTGACGCCAGCTCCCCAACTATTATGTCACAATTTTTGTTTATTCCAGGCTCTTGAGTTTTCTTTAAATTTCTCAGAGTGAAAAAAATTCAAGTGCCTGGAATAGAAAAAATATGTCTACCCACTTATGTCTCTTTTCCACTTATGTTTTCTCAAGTTTCCTCTCTTTATTGCTTAAGTTTTCTTTCTCAATTTCTCTTTGTTCCAGGCTTTTGAGTCTTCAGTGAACAAAACTCAAGATTCTACAATAGAAAAGATTTGTCTAATCATTTTCTCTCAAGTTTCGTTTCTCCATTATTCAAGT